CCCCAAAACCCCAAAACCCCAAAACCCCAAAACCCCAAAACCCCAAAATCCCTTAGCAACATTGAAACCCCACTCAAAATCTCTACTAAAACTTTCTTAGTACAAAATTGTTCCTCCAGTCAGCCTCCTTGTGCTGCCACTCTGGACGTTGTGCCTCCAAGTTATACTGATCCTTACTCAACGCCGTTTCCGCAGCCTGCCCATCACATTATGCCTTCTTTCTTCCCAGTCGTTTCTTCGCTAGAATCAGAGACTGAATTCCCTCTCTTCTTATTAGCATGTCTAGAAGAATTCAGCTTATTTCAACACATATTAGCCATCTTATAGATAAAGAAGTAAGATTGGATTGCCAGCATTACTGATAAAGCTTTAATAATAGGGTGATTCCCGTTCTGACAGGTAAAACAGTTCCAGACGACATAAATTCCTTTAAACAGTCGATAGTATATGTATAACAGGATGTATAAATATTGAGAAATAGAATTAAGCATTGTGTGTTTGTAGCCAAGATTACGACATATCACCCAAATATGCATGAAGGGATTTGAAATTTCAGAGACATAAACTCCTGCCATTATCTCACTACCAGAAGCACTAAAACAAAGGGAGAGGTAGTACCCACAACAAGTGATACCATGGTGGATTAGTAATCAAATGTCAAAAACACCGTAATAAGCCATTGCTATCAAATCATAAATAAAATATCCAAGACTAAGAGTGATTAATAACGTCTGAATTGGATGATTTGGAGACCCATATGGTAATTTGATGTATGTGACATCATAATAGCTAAAACAAATTCACATTATCCCATGAATGAGAGAGGTAAATCTGTTTTTCGTATCCAAAACTTCAAATTTGCTCATTTTCTTTGGTTTCCTTTTCGAATACTCTAAATGATCAGTCTGGGAATTGAACAAAACTATTGCTACTACCATTTGGATAATCTAAAAGATAAATGAATTTAGCTCTCCTCAGAATTAATTTCCGAGTTTTAGCTGTTAAACTTACTCCCCAGAACAACGCTGATAGTAAAATATTAAGCAGGGTAGTTTGATTTGGGATATACACCCATATTTGAGGAGGAACTCCTGATGCCATGTTTTAGGTTAAAATAGTATAATAATTATTCCTTGTTTCAAGTATTTTAACTCACACAGGGGTTTTGGGGTTTTGGGGTTTTGGGGTTTTGGGG